TATTATTTAAAAAAAAATTAATCTATACATCACACGGGTCAACCATTAGTGAATTTAATTTTTAAAGATAATAATATTACACAAGTGTTATAATATTAATCGCGTAGAGTAATATTTCAAGACCATAACTATTTCCAAATCCAAAAAAAAGACCATCAAATAACATTAATAATTTGTAACTGAGTTAGTTCATTATAGCTTTGTTATAATTACAAATTAATATACTAATATTTTTTTTACTACCTATGGGTCTCACATGTGAGTAATTATTAAAATTTTGATAAATTATTATTATTATTATTATTATTATTATTATTATTATTGTAAGACAGAAACTTTACATTTAATAGAAAGACACAAGAGAAACTAAAATCAAAAAAGAAAAAGACAAATTCAACATACATTTGCAGTCTCAGCTGGTTTTGTTGCATGTTTTAGTAATTATTAGTTGGACCCCATGTGCTACGTGCATGGGAGTCGTGCTATTGTTAGCTGAGAATAAGATACTTTTAGAATATAATTCAGGTGTCTTGAGCTACCAAATTGATGTTACTAGTATCTAGTGAGCAGCGTCTTAAAAAATTGTCAATAACTCAGTCAATTTTCCATAGTCATTATGTATTTGAATAATTTTAAGATGCAAAAGAGATGAATCATAGCTAGCATAACGAGTTATAGCAATGTATGCTACATCAGACGAGGTAAAATCCAGTGATTCAACTTGAAGAATTTAATGACACTTAAAAAGTGTGATTAAAAATGACCATTTTTAATCACACTCCTAAAGACCACACTTTAATAAAACTTAAAAGGTGTGATTAAAAAACATACATCACACCAAAAAAGTGTGATCTTTATCTATATTTGTAGTAGTGATCATAGCTAGCATAACGAGTTATAGCAATGTATGCTACATCAGACAAGGTAAAATCCAGTGATTCAACTTGAAGAATTACCAAAAATTATAGAATTAACAAATATTTATAGTGAGAGATCCAACATGACTTACTTTAAGAGTGGATTCAACAGTGATTCTATCACCACCAATAATGTTGAAAACCTACTCTAGTTAATATTTCTAAATTGAATTACTTCGCATCTCAATGAGCAAAAGGAAATAAATTGTTTATATTGCCACAATTCACTTTATCCGTAGGTAGCCTCTCTTTATTGCTTTGCATCTTCAATCACTACCGGTGAAGAAATAATTCAGAATCCCTTCATCAAACTGGAAGGTAGCATCCCATAAGGTTCCAAAATTGTATACATAACGAATTGTGGAATGACAATTGCAATTACATGGCTATTCCTCTGGAAGACAATTCAAAAGCTATGAAAATCAGAAGTTAGCAATGAATGATTGATACACTGGCTATATAATGTTAAATTTGGAAGTGACTGGGATCCCATTTAGATGGATAACTCAAAAAGACCACATGATAATGATTGAATGCTACTCAAGGAATTACTTTTTGCCTTTAAGAAGGCAGAGAAAAAGGGCTATTGTCAATTCATTCTATTGCAATCTATCCACTCATTGCTATGTACATTCCTAAATGTAAAAGACCATGAAAACTCCCACACACTGTTGTTTCAAGCTAAACAACCACCCATTAATTTTAAATAATTAAACCCACAATTTATATCAACTTGATTTCTAACTTATTTAATTTTCTTAACAAGATAAAAGAAAAATAACATTCTTAATTAACATTTGAATCGGCAATTGAATCTACAACATCTACCCGTGTAGCCAAAGGTAAATCCTATCAAATTATCATGCGTCCACCATATTGAGAGTTCATGATATGTGAAGTTCAAATAAACAGCTTTGAGTGAATTAATTAAGAAGACATGACTGTATGACATGTGAAGTCCATTGTCTTGCTTTCCACCAGGATGTGTGTTTTCTTTATTATATAGGAGGTGTCCACATCAAGTCTTTATGAATCATGACCAAGAGCATGTTTCCTTTTGTTTAATTTCTATTGTTCTACATTTATCTTGTGCCTTTAGGCAAGAAGTTTGATATGATATTTTATTTCAAATCCCCTCTCAGAATGATTAGGGAAGTTGGTTAGAAAAACTACTATGAAACTTCATTATGGTGTCATATGTGACATGTTATGTGTCATTGGGTATTAAGAATGATTGCTAGACAATATTGTTGGACCTATTAAATCGTAATGATTTATTTGTCAAATACAATGAATAGATTGATTCGTTGGTAAATTCATCCACGTCAATTTTTCCTTGAAAACTCTCTTTGATTAAGAATTTTCAATTTCTTTCTTTTTCTTTTTTCTTTTAATTTCTTTTATTGATCAGACAAACTTCTCAAGTGCTTCTTTGACTAATTGGAATTTAGCTATTTGAATGTGATTTACAACCTTAGTGATCAACCTAAGTATTAATGGAAGCTTTTGGATTTTAAGAATCTGTTTGGAATTCCTGGTGGATTTGAAGACCCAATGTCAATACTTAATTTCTACTTACATGCCCAATAAAATAAATTGGAACCAAACAATTGAATTTCTGGTTCAAAAGTGTTAAAAAATTCATCATATTTTGGATATTGTGGTTCTTTGTTTGGTTTATTTATTGTCAAGTGGATCATAAATCAAGAATATTAATGAAAGCTTTTGAATGTCTAAGAATCTGTATGGAATTTCTGGTGGATTTGAAGGCCCAATCACAATAGTAAATTTCTACATAAACTTCAAATAAAATAAATTGGAGCCTTTTTGTGTGTGTGTGTTTTCTTATTCTGAATATACTTGACCATCTTGCAAGTGTATGGACATCAGAACAAAAAACATTTTTTTTTCTAGCATGACATTATGGTTTTGCCTACTATAAATACCCAAGGACTAGAATTTATTTATTTATTTATTATGGTTTTATATTTGTATCTATGTTGAGAGATGAGATATGGCCACATGATTGAAATGCGTGCCCGAGCGATTTTTTTCTTGTATCTCGGGACGCGTAAAACACGTGCCCGAGCGATCTTCTCTGTTTCTTAGGACGCGTGAAACGCGGCCTCGAGCGATTTTTCTTATTTCTCATGTTGCGTGAAACGCAACCTTGAGCAGTTTTCTTAGTTTCTCAAGGTGCGTGAAACGCAATCCTGAGCGGTGTTTTCTTTCCTCGTCTTTATTTTGGCGTGGTTAGAGTGCGGTTTCATCTTCTTTTTGCTTGAAACTGCTTATTCATGTGTTGTTATTTTGCTTATTGTATTCATCCTTGCTTATCGCATTTATTATTGCCTATTGCATCATCTCGCATAATCATGAGTTTTCAAATAGCCGGCTTCACAAAGCGTGTTAGTCCAGTTTTCAAAGTTACATTATCAATATCATTTCGCATTTTGCCCCAGAACTTCGCTGGTTTTATTCCTTGCAAAGGGATACGTAGGCAACCTGTGTGCGCAACCGTTCTTCGTCTTGTTTGTTTATCCAAGTCTTTGGCCTTGTCAAAATGCGTCGTCTTCGGGCTTTGACATTCACTCACGTCATTTCATGACTTCCGAGTTTTGTCAAAGAGGGGCAACTGTAGACACCCCATTTTTGACCGTCCTCAAGATTTGCACGTCATCGTTTGTGCACTCGATGATTATGACTTCATGTGCTTGTTTTAGTGCTCGAAGTCCTCGGTGGAATGCCTTGTCTTTGAGCCTTTAAACCTTATCTATTCTATGCCTTGTTTTGGACCAAAACCTTCAAGCCTGCAACCCCTGGTGGCCAACCGGCCACTGTTTGAAACTGTTGGCCACCAATTGTGCCTTGCTAGCCATCCAAGTGGCCTGCAGGCCACATTAGTAGCCTGCCGGCCATCAGTGTCTTTTTTTAGATATTTTGTTGACAGCTGTACCAGCTGTTGGCACAATTGGATACATCTCCTTACACGTGTATGGAGGGATTTATCTCAGCCAAATGAATGTTTTTCTATATATAGGGGGGTTCCTCCATTTTTTAGGGTTAGAAAATTCAAAGCAAAAATCTCTCTCTCTCTCTAGATTTTTCTCTCTCTCTTACAATTTTGTGCCTTAGTGCTTATTTTCTCTACACTTTTGCATACGCATCCTAAATCAAATCCTCTTACCTTTGAGTTGAGATTACTTGGGGTCCTCTTTGAGCTCTTGAAGGTGGTTTTAGCTTGGTTTTGTGCCTAGAATTGCCCTTTGCTTCAAGAGGTAGTTTACTTGCGCTGTTTACTTTGTTTTGCTAGCTTGTTTTACCATCTTTCTTTACTGTTTTGGGGCTGGTTTTGAACTGAGAAAATTTTTGTTTTTGTGGCCTAAAAGTGGTGGTTTAACCCCTTTTTTAGTTAGGGGGTGGTTTACCCTTCTTGTTTATTAGTTTGTAAAGCTTTTGTGCCTTTATTCATCACTTTCAAATCAACTTTTTTGGGCCTTTTAACCACTAAATTTCAGAGAGTATGGCCACACTATACATACTGAAATCATGGTAGAAATGAGACCAAAGCATGCAAACAACTCAAGTAAGCCATGCTAGAGACCATGAAATTCAAAGCTAATGAGCAAGAATGCATTATGGCTATACAAAGCATGACATGCATGACCAAAATAACATGAATCAGAGCTTAAGCATGCTAAAACATAGACAAAAGCTTCTTGGAGTTAAGCCAAAACATGCTAGAATGATGGTCTAAACATGTGATGCATGTTAGGCTAGTGGATGGCTTTGCACTACAAGTGCATGGAGCATGCATGATATGATCAAACCACGCTAAAACAGTGTTATATCATGGCAAGACAAGGCCTAATACATACTGAAATGGAGCCACAAAGAGGTATCAAAACATGCCAACTTGGTGAGCCATCAACACAAGCATTCAAGAGAAGATGAGGGGGGACAACCCCCTCCTATTTGAGGCCTCAAAACACACTTTTTACCACTGAAAATCCACTGGATTTCAGTGGCTAAAATGCCAAAATGAGATGGCTCAAAACAAGGCCAAACAAGGCACAACCCCCCCCCCCCGGGGGGGGGGGGGGGAGGAGGAATCTTTAGATAAAACCACCATCACCATCATGAATCAAGTCATTGTGAAACATATCAGTTCAATACATTCCTCTATTGTGTGATCAGGACACAAAAGTGGATGGTGACCCCGAGCTTCTGGATGACTCTGAATTTTACCAGCAGCTACTGAAAGAATTTTTTGAGACATTTGACCCAGCATCATCTGGTAAAGTACTCCAGCAATTTTTTTTTATACTTAATTTGGAGAAATAAACGAAGTTGGATCAGAGTTTGACATTTTTGTTGCTAACAAACGAAGTTGGCTACAAAGGAACTAAGCTGTTCTTAGCAGTGACTTGTTCAAGCTTAGCTCAGCTGAATTTAAGAGCTCAGGCTTGAATCAAGCCAGAGAATCTTTGTTCAAACTTGGCTCAGCTCTTGTTTGCTGGGCTACAAAGGTTTTTTAACCAGGTCAATGTCAAAAGTTCTATTTATGGTCTACCACTTGTCTTGTTCTAGTTGATGTGACATAAATTATCAATTCAAACATATGAATTCAAAATCAAAATAGCTGAGACATCATGATATTAACATTCAAATCTCATGCCATGATGCCATCGTTCATTTGCACTGACAATACGAAACATGGAATTTAATATACACATACATTCATCATTCATCATTGCCATCACATTATTCATGAGCCAAGCTTAGTTGTCCTCACGCTCAGTTCATTTTCTAAATGAGTTTAAAGAAAGAACTTGAGCTTGGTTAGCTTATAATATAAAGGAACTCAAATGAGCCTTATTAACAAGCGGAGACCCAGCTGTATATGAACTTGGTTTGTTTGTGCAGTCCTAATTATATGCATCCTCTGACAAATTATCAAACCATTAATATGATCTATTGTTGCTTCTGTGACCCACAATATTATCAAATTAGTGGTTTAGTTTAACACTGTCCTTTATGGGTTTCTGTACTAAGTGCTTGTTTTTCCTTCAACTTCTCATTGTTTGATCATCCACAGAGTCTACCTTTTATGCTCTCAAGGGAATGCAAACTAAGAAAAGGAAGATTGTTGATCGACGTGCCTCAAAGTGTCGCAAGATCAGGTATAATGTACATGAAAAGATTGTCAATTTCATGGCGCCTCAGCCCGTGCAGGTTCCTCCCATGGCCCCCAAGTTATTTGAAAATTTGTTCGGCCTCAAAACCCAGAAACCCGTCTCTGTGGTGTAGCACAACCTGATGATAATAGGGCTTCGAATTTTTGTGATCTTACTTGATATAATTGCTCATTGATGTGATGTATCCAATTTTGTTTTGTTATGTTTTTTTCACTGCCACATGTCGAATGTTTTTTTATTAGGATGCTTTTTTGGTTCAGTATTTTTTGTTTTCATGTAGACCCAACATCTGATAGGTACATTGTGGGAATAAACAGTGAAAATTAATCAGAAATAAATATAAATATTTTTTTTCTGTACAAACTCTTCAAATTTATGATTTAGCCACAACCTAAATTTATTTGTTGGCTCTTGCCTAAGACTTGTATTTATCCCCTAATTGCTGGCCACATGTACATTACGCCATGGCTCAAACAAACTAGGAATTCACCATTAAATATTAAAGTATTGTCTTACGTTATACTGTTTTTATTTACATAAATAATTTTAAATAGGTTTTTGTTTATTTTTAGTAAAAATGAAAACAAAATACCTTATTTGGTACGCACATTGTTAAAAATAAACAAGTGAGATTATCAGCGAGATATGGTGGTCTAAGGTGGTTGTCTATGGTTAGAGATAGTGGCCATAGTTGGTTGTTTGGTACCGAAGGTGATGATCGAAATAGTTTTTAACAATTGGAGATGGTGGTAAAATGGGATTGAATATGGTGGCTAGATGTAGTGGCAAGAGGTGGTGTACGGTGCAGATTGTTGTTACCAACAATGGTGGCCAAAAGTGAGAGTAGTTGGTAGGGGTGATGAGTGATGGATCGTGCTTAGAAGGGTTGGCAGAATAAGGAAGTTCAGGAAGTTTATTAAAAAGAATGAAATTAATTTTTTTTGTGTGATTACAATAATTTAGTAAATTTTGCAAATTGCTTATAATTTTTTTTTGAAAATGAAAATAAATACTAAACAAGTTTTTATTTATTATTTTTAATTTTTTTTTGTAAATATAAACAAACAATTGTAACAATAAGAGCTTATTTGATAATGTTTAAATTTCTAAAAACATGTTACCAAATATATTTTGTTTTCGTTTTTATCAAAAATAAATATAAGCACATTTAATATTTTTCTATAAACTTTACCCACTGATACCTAATTGTCAATCGGGGTAAAAGGCAGCGGATGAAAAATTTCATAGTCATACCTTTTTTAGTAGAGTCTGAAGTGAAGGATTTCGTGGGTAAATCATGCGCTTCCAGAAAGTGAACAACCAACCTAGCAGTGGAGTGATATTACAAAATAAATATCACCCACACAAGTCAATTGTTTAATGAGAGAGAGTCAGAGAGAGTCTGGGAAAAACGTTATGGGTAAAAACCACATAACGTATCTGATATGTCAATATATTATTTAAAATATAAAATTAGATATATAACCTCCAATATCTATCTATCCATCTATCCATATTTATTGATATGATAGATATAGATATCCTGAATGGTTATCCAAATAAGTTTTGAATTCAAATTCAAACCTACATAGATAAGGTTCAAAAAGGTTCAGGTTCAAAAGGTTCAAAGGGTCATGCCACATGGGCGTCCAATTTCTAACATCTCCCACTCGCACATGAGTTGGCATGACACTGCCACATCTCTATCTCAATCTCCTCAAAAATGGACAATCTCATACTAGCCAATGCACTGTGCGACTGTTGAGAATACCTGCATGTGGGAGTTCTATACTAGAAACTCAAAATGAGTCAGCATAGAGACATCAACCCAAAAGGAAAAGAAATAGTGTCTCATATACCCCAAACTCATCTAATTACACCGGTCCAAAAAATATCTCTAATCTCTCAAAAAGAGCATGTTTGACCCTTTCAATTCTTGCAATATATTCACACTCAATCCGCCTCTCATACAGAGCGATGTGAGTTGTCGATAGTGAATATACAACAGTGGTGTAATACTAGATAATCTTCCCTTTGCCCTCATGCCATTTAGTTTAGGATTGACCGCTTTCCCAGTGATGTCCCTTAAGGCCGAATCATACATGACCGCAGGCAACATACCAAAGTAGCAGAACATCAACCTCTTACCTTATGACATAGTCAAAAGTCACAAAAGGGTACATAAATGAAAGTCATATCAATAATGACACGTAAGACTCACACGGTGCGGAAACAGGGATCCATTCTCTCACCTCATTACTCGGTCGCCAAGCACATATAGTATGAATACATGCTTCGGTGGAGTAACTCTTCCAAAAGAGTGACGTCATACTCGATACATTGTACAGATATTAGTCTAGTCGCTTTCTAGTGCCTAACCCGAATTCTCTATTTGTTCACCTTCCAGGCGCCAAATGAGATCTCGCATCTGGCTAATCATAACAGGCATAACATGGAAAGTGGGTACTAACATCCATGTTTGGTCCTTAACACGACCTCATCTTGGTTGTAACCAAGGCGACATGCGTAGTGGATAATTTAAGCCTGTCTTGGCTCCAAATAAAAAATAACCCACTAGTCTCATCCTTGCTCGCTCCCAAGCACTAAGGGCGATTGCTCGTGTGAGTAAGCCAATCTTGCCTGCTGACATCATCATATGCTAATCATTATGACACAAACCATAATAGTGTCAACATCCCATCATCTCACAACAAATAAGTGATCGATCTACAAAACATGACCACAGCTTGCGCAATTCTAGATTCCAAGCATAAGCCTTATCAGCATCTTTTGCGATAAGCATATACAACGGAATTCACCATTTGCGCCTCACATGAAGTGGTTCAAGATCACTACCTCTTGCGCAATTACCTCTCTAAAAATATTTTGGTGACCAATTTGTGTTCATTCCGGATGCGCGCAACTAGCGCATTGAATCTTACAAGGAGCAAATTAATATACTACTAGTAAAGCATTCTATCCACAGTTTGATGAGTAAGGTCAATGTCTAAACAACTCAGTTGACCATTTACCAAAGATAACACTTATCATGCCGAATACACCCACATAGCGTACTTTAGGCTCCCACAACAAAGAAAAGATCAAGGAATATAGGTTATTTGTTTCTCCCAAAGACAATCCGAGGATTCACTTAATAGCTAAGGCTCTGGCTTTTACTGGATTCAATTCATTACTCTTTAGGACATCTTCATTTGCAAACACTTTCAAGACAACATCATCCCCACCTTGCTTAATTTTGACAGCATCAGGCCCTGCATCTGGGCTGAATAGCTGTCCATCTCTTTTTAGCTCATCCAGCTCACCAGTACTTGGACCATCACCCTCTATCTTTAGTTCTACTTCAGCTCTGGGAACAGCTTCAGGAATTGGCTCTGGCTTGAGTTCTGCTAACACACAATCATCCCCAGCATTTCGGTATGTTGCACACCCTTACTCAAAGGGACAAGTGCTTCGTTAATTGCATTTATTGTTATTAGATTCTTGGAGTTAGAAGAGCTGCATTTTTACCCTAATGGATTTGTTGGATGGTTTATTCATTTTTTGGTTCATCATGCATCACATCATATGTGTTTCTTAGGGTTAGGGTTAACGGGGGTTGGATGGTTCAATAGATATCAAACTAACATCAATGTCCCTAGAAATAGGAAAAACAAAAACCAGAATGCAAATGATCTTCTGCTACTACCATGCCTCTCATCCTCCTCTTTTTTTCTCTTCACAAATTTGATGACGGGCCTTTCTTCCTTGGCCAATTCAGTATGGTATGTCTCATCCATGTCCTGTTGGTTTTCCTTAATGCTGCTTTGTATGGAACTTGGTGAATTCTCATCTAGCATTTATTTTAACTTGTTTCAACAAACATGTGTTTAATTTGATTTTCTTTGGTTTGCGGCCGAAATTTGTGGTCAACAGGTGGACATGGCCTATGTTCCATTCATTGAACGGTTTCAACTCTTTATACAAGATGTGTGGAAGTATGACATCATGGCAGGACGACCTAAACTAGAGGCATGGTTTGAAGTGAGTTAATGAACTATATTCATTCTTGAAGGCAAATATGAAATCTTGTCACTAGAAAAATATGCTGCATAGTATTTTAATGTTCGTCTCCATCCAGTTAGTTCATAAATGTCTAGGCCTTTGAATAATGCAATGTGTAAGTTTCCCAAAACCAGGGCAGGCAGGCACTATCCGCAATGGTTGGTGATCGGTAAATAAATTTTAGTCTTGTGGTTATAGGTTTCGACTTTCAATGCTGCTGGCCTTTCAAAGGGGCTTTTCCACAAGTGTGTCGTATATTTTAAGAAATGAAGCATGGTTATGATGTAGTTCCCATTGTTGAAGGTGGGTTAGAGTTATTTAAATATGGGTTTGTGATAGGGATGTAAAAGATGGAAGTGTTGTTGCCGTAGTTGTTTTGATTGCTTCCCCAACTGTTTGGAGTTAGCTAATTCAGCATTTAACTGTGGAATCCGCAAAAAATCATTTCCTCCACCATGCCTTGTAGGAGCATCTCTCTCTATGTTTATGATCTCTCTCTCTCTCTTGCATGGATGCACAAAAAAAGTAATTGTGTTGTGTCGGTGCATCTCTCTCAATGTGTTACATGTGTATGATCTCTCCATTGCATGCATGCACGTGTTTTGCACTACCTTCTTGGTGAAGATTATTGTCCGAGTTCAAATTTTCTTAGCAACAAATTCTTTTCCTGCCTCTCTCTCTCTCTCTCTCTCTCTCACACACACACACACACACACACACACACACACACACACACACAAATGGTGATTTGTGCTACTGCATTTTTTAGATGAAAGACTAATTTTCTGACTTCAATGCTTCTGAGCATACTGTTAGCAAAGAGATCTTTTGCATTCTTGTGAGTTGTGAGTGACTCCAGCTTTTGAGTGATTGGGCACTGTATCTAAAATTTTTAATGGTGCGTTTGTCTTGATCAAGAGCAGTGGCAGATCTAAGTTAGGCCTCGGAGGGGCACTCCTAAAATTTGGAAAATTATAGACCCTCCTCTCTCTTTTTTGTTTTTTTCAACTAACCCCTTTATTTCTCCCTTAAATATTTATATTGCTTTGAAGACTGCCTTTTTATATACATATATGGACGACAAAGTGTCCTAGTTCTCTCTAACTTAATAATTGCTTACATTTTTGTGTTTATTATTAGCTTAAATAGTATTATATCATTTTATCATTGTTGATTACGAAAAAAAATTCTAATGTTATGATTAAATGATTGCCCCCTTGACTGAATTTTCTGATTCCACCACTGATCAATAAAGAGTACAGGAGATGTGATTTCCTATTACATAAAAGTTTCTTATATCTTGAATAACAAATCTCTTATTGATGGATCCATTTGTAGGAGATGAACAAGGTCGATGCTTACAAGCAATCAAAATACGACCCCAAAGAAAATATGAAATTATGGAAGAAATACTTTCTGGTACTCATGCATTGGCACTTGGATTTTTCTTTGCTAGTGAGAGATTAAACAGAATTGTTGCTAACACTTCAATATATGTATATGTTCACTTACAGGGTCAGGAGTGAAATATGGAAGCAGAGATTTCGAACTATGAATTAAATAAGTGGCTTGATGGCTATTATCAATGTCTCCAGTGTAAAACTCAGCTGTACACTGACGGGTATGTGGACTCGTTTATGTCTAGGTGTTGCAAAAGGTTGTGGTCGGCATGTTTGTGAAGCTTAATAAGTTTGTATACTGTAATGTGTTTGTGAGTCTTGTTATGTTTTTGTTTTTGGTTTGCTTTTTGTTACACCAGAATTCAGACTAAGGTCAAGTTTGGGAAGACTAAATAAGTGCACTTTTTGACTTTTTATGAAATATGGGTTGGGTTTGAAGTGATGTGTTAGAGAGGTGATGTGACTTAAATGAGATGATGTGACTTAAATAGGATAGTGACTTTTTGACTTTTTGAATTTTTTGGAAGATGCCAAACTTGCCTTAAATGCTAGTTTTGTAATGTGATCATTGAATAATAAAGGTTCTGATCTTTTTATGTGGCTACTCGTGAGTCTTGTTTTCTCTTGTACAATGTATTTGTTGAATATTTTTTCTTCTCCCACTTCGATAATTTTTTTATAATAATAATATGTGTGGGAGGTAAAATCCAAAATACGAGACACGTGAATTGAGAGCTAAGCCAGATTGACCAAGCTAGAATCGGAACAAGACCACTTGGTCGAGCTAGGATACCTCGGGTAGACAAATAGGACCCTAAGTTAGTTTGGATATCAAGCTAGGTATGGGTTCGGATTGACAGCTCGAATAGTTGGACCAGGTCAGCTTGCGTTCCACTCAACGTGGATTTGCCCACTCTTAGAAATCCGTGAATATGAGACAAGATTCCATACAAAGCGGAACGAGGAGTGGCAGGAATTTCTCAATTGTCTAAAATGGTTAGAAAGAGGGTCTAATATAAGCAAGCAAAGCCAAGCCAACAAGGTACATAACAACTCCCACTAGAGCTTACATACTTTTTGTTGCTTATTTTATTATTGACTTAGGCATGGAAGAGTTTCCTGGCTGACCATTAGCTAGAGTTTTCTTTTGAGTGTGTTTCAGGCTATCCAACCATCATGTTTTATGTAATTTGATGTCATTTCAAGATGTAGCAAGTTCTTCTCCATAAAACATGTTATATTTAATTTTTAGGAAAAATTACAGATACAATTTTAAAATTTGTATAAAATATAAATTACTTCTTATATTTCTAGACTAGGACTTTTAACTAGTGATTTTGAATTATTAACTTTTAATTTATAATTAGCTTTTTCTCCAATTTTTTTATTTTATTTTTATTTTTTATAATTAGCTGGACTAAACCATATAGGTTCACATATGAGAAATTATTTCATGGTCATCAGGTGGCCATGTCCTTTTGCCTATCGCAAACTACTATGCTTCTCTACTCTCTAAATACAACATGTGACCGTACTCTAAAATCACCAAATAACTTTTTGACGGGTGATTATATTGCACCCAAATAATAATTAAGTGCGCCTAATTAAAATTTTGAAATTTTAGTTCTTATTATACCCTAATATAAATTTATTAATAAGGACAATACATGTTAAGGCCTCGTTTGGTAAGTGTTTGTTTTAGCTTAAAAGTTAAAAAATTATTAAAAAAACAAAAAAGCCTATAATCTATACCAAAAAGTTAAAGATTTCATTTTCTCTCTATTTTTTGCCTATCTTTTCATAAAAAATTAAAAAGTCATTCCAAACAACTAAAAATTACTTATAATTAAGTACGCCTAATTAAAATTTTGAAATTTTAGTTCTTATTATACCCTAATATAAATTTATTAATAAGGACAATACATGCTAAGGCCTCGTTTGGTAAGTGTTTGTTTTAGCTTAAAAGTTAAAAAATTATTAAAAAAACAAAAAAGCCTATAATCTATACAAAAAAGTTAAAGATTTAATTTTCTCTCTATTTTTTGTCCATCTTTTCATAAAAAATTAAAAAGTCATTCCAAACATACTAAAAATTACTTTTTGATTAATCTAAATAACCATTCTAGTTGACGAAACAGAACCAAACAAAAAAACAAAGTACACCCAGTTTAATCCCCCTTAGATAGGGGTCTAGGAGGGGTAAATTAAGTACAAACCTAACTCTTGGCATTATTATATATAAAGTGGCTGCCCTCATGTTTGAACCCACAACATAAGAACTTGAAACCTTACTCCAGCCATTCCTTTCAAACACAAATTGAGCACTTTTGAGGTAAAACAGACATAATATACCATATCTGAACAGTGGTACACAGATCTCAACTTGTACATAAACCAAACAATTTGCATCAATTCACAGTTTTCTACTCTCAAGGCAAAGTAAGGCCTGATCCTTTGGTCTCATAAAATTGGATGCTTCGGATAATTGATCAAGACCTAAGTCATCAATGCCAATCAATAAACAGCTATCATAGTTTGCAATTTCTATCATCTTTCACTCTTACCAATTTACCTTGTTGCACTTAAAAATATCCAATCTTGAAGCCTTCAATGAATCCCAACAACCCCATATCTCACTATATGTTTGTATGAATGTCAATGGAGAGAACCACAAAAGATGTACATTTCGGTCATCCCGATTGCACAATTTGCACAAAATGGATTTATTTCACCATCCATACCATTCAATCACATGTTACTCTAAACATTGTTTGGAAGCCAAAGAAAAAATAGTTAAAGGAACAAATAGTTAGAGAAAAAATAGTTAAAGGAACAAAACAGTTAAATAGTTAAAGAAAAAATAGTTAAAGGAACCTATATATGAATGAAGTGGTGCAATATGGAGGGAGAGTGATCAGCGGAGTATCCTAATTTGTTGCTCGAAATTATTGGCCCGAAATTAGTATCCTAATTTATTGGCTCGGAATTGATATCCTAATCTGTCCTAATTTCCATAATTTGGATGATTCTTATTTTAAAACTTATTAGGTAAAATTATTAGGTAAAATATTTATGAAAAATGCTTGGGACCCCCTTTTGGGGGTCACCCCCTCAACCCCCTTTGCCACATGGCGGGTGGTGATTAGAGGAGCAGGAAAAAAAAGAAAAAGAAAAAGAAAATGTAACCAATGAGAGAGAGAGGGGGTCAAAGGGGGTGGGAGGAAAAGGGGGGATGAATCATTGTTGAATATTTATACTATAAAAGATTAGGGTAAATTACATTGACACCCCCTAATATTTATATTTATTACAGTTCTCCCTTTACATTTGGAAAATTACACCGACCCCCTGTTAATTTAATTTTATGTATGATGATCATTACGGTGAGGGAGGAATTATTATCCAACTTTAAATCTCAATGGTCAATCTGTAATGAAACTTTAAGCCTCAAGGAGGGGATGTAATTTTCAAAATGTGAGGGGGGAACTGTACTCTATCTCTCGGTGAGGTGGCAAGCTAACAAGATCTTCGGGAAAGACATCCGAATACTCACAAACCACCCTCGGTAACACAACCTGGGTCTCACCACTCTTACCACTGACACCCCCTGAGATTTATATTTATTACAGTTCCCCCCTCACCTTTGGAAAATTACATCTCCCCCCCTGAGGTTTAAAGTTTCATTACAGATTCTTTCTCTCAGCAATTTAATTTTTTTAAATACCAATTTTGCCCTCACTGGATAAATTACATTGACCCCCCTCATATTTTAGAAATTACAATCCCCTCCCTAAGGTTTAAAGTAGCATTACCAATTGCTCCCTCAGTTAGTATTAGTTAGAAAAAAAAAATCATTGAAAAAAAAAATTAATTGGGAAAAAAATTAATTGAAAAAAAAATTTGTTAGTAAAATTTTAAAATTTTTGTTTAAAAGCCTACGTAAACTCATTTTTTGAATTTACATTTTTTCCTTAAATTTACAAACTGAAACAACTATTTATAAATTAAAAAAAAATTATCAAATAAGGTTTTATGACAGTTTTTAAAATTTTTGTAAATATAAATTGAAAATTAAAAATGAAATGATTACCAAACAAGCCTCAGATGGTAAAAATGTCGTAAAATTAACAAATAATTAAATAAGTTACTAACGTAAAAATGACTTATCAAAAGATTCTTAGGCTATGTATAATTTGATTTTTAGAAAAAAAAAAATTAAAAATTAAAAACTAATTTGGTTAAGAAATAAAAAATAAAAAATAATTATCATTTTAATTTTTGAGCAGGTTACATACATATGTATGGTCGTTTCAATTTAATTTGTAAAAAATTATTTCTAACCACTCGATAGATAAAAATTATATAAAAATGATAATTATTTTTTATTTTTTATTTCTTAACCAAATTAATTTTTAATTCTTAAAAAAATTCTAAAAATCAAAGCATACATAGTTTAAGAATATTTTGATAAGTTATTTCTTACATTGGCAACTTATTTAATTATTTGTTAATTTTACAACATTTTTACCATCTGAAGCCTGTTTGGTGGGTCTGTTTGGTAACCATTCAATTTTCAGTTTTCAGTTTATATTTCCAAAAATTTAAAAAACTGTCATAAAAACTTGTTTGATAATTTTTTTGGTTTATAAATGGTTGTCTTAGTTTATAAATTTGAGGAAAAAACATAAACTAAAAAAATGAGTTTACGTTTTCAGTTTTCAATTTTTTTTTTCAATTAATTTTTTTCAATTAATTTTTTTTTTCAAATAACTTTTTTTTTCAATTATTTTTTTCAAATAATTTTTTCCCAATTAATTTTTTTTTCAATTATTTTTTTAATTAAGTTCTTTCAAATAATTTTTTTCCCAATTATTTTTTTTAATTAATTTTTTTTTTCAATTATAATGTGTGTGATCCCACTGTCATAAATAATAAAAATAAATATAAATATTTGAGGTCTGAACAAACATATTTTTTAGTATATGAGAGAGAGATTTATGATCTGGAATTGGGCCGAGGCAACGGCCGAGCAAGTTGAGAGCCTAACGGTGCACGGGGTCGAGATGGCCGGCGATCTGCCCGGAGATGGGCTGCCAGGAGTTGGGCCGGGCAAGAGTTGGGCCAAGTATGTGCCGCCCCAGACCGTAAAGAAGCTGCTCGGCAAGGCAGTGCTCGGTTGGACCGAGCTGCTTGATCAGGCGATGATGGAGCCAGTCAAGCTGAATGACCGGCACCCGGAAAGGCATGGTCAGCCGAGGTAATCGTTTAATCGGCAGGAAGGCCGACCACAGGAGGTGCCCTGGGCGAGACTTTGCCGAGATGCCGCCTAGCCCGGTCCTCCTTGGGCTTAGCCCGTGAAGTGCTTGGGTATGAGGCACAGCACGGCCGTGAATAAAGAAGCTCGGCTGCCGAGCTCCAGCTGAGAAGGCAGGCAGTTGAGATTAGGTGATGTTCAGCAAGGTTTATGCTGACAGATAGGATAGCGAAGCCACGTGTCAGGAGATGACTGGGAGTGGATATGGGGCGCAGAGGGTATATAAGCATGTCTGCGCCCCCCATACGCGGACAGACGAACACTTTGTAAGAAAACTCCTACACTCTAAC